TCCTGGTTGAATAAAGGTTAAAAATAAACTATATTTTTAATAAAAACGCTCCGAAAATGTGGTTATATTTTCCTTTTTCTGAACCTTAGTTAAATTATAGCTCAACGTAGATTAAAATGTTAAAGCTTAATAAGAAAATACAGTTTATTTAAATAATAGGTATTTGCCTGCTTATTTTATTTTGAGCCTGTTTTAGTAAAGTCAAATCTACCTTAGAGTAGGAAACTTTCAGCCATATTCTTGAGGAGCTGTCATATGCAAACTGTTCAGAAAACTGGAGTCAGGAGTCATGAAGTCATGACTGTGTGTGTTTGTGTTTGCAGAGGGGGTGTCATATGGTTCACCCTGTGTCCTCTGCTGTTACTGAATGGAAGGACTGTCTTTGACTTGGCCAGATCAGTGAGTTCACATCTGTCCTGTCGGCTACAGGCTCACTGTAAACACAACACTACTGTATACTGTACATCACCAGCCAGGAGCGCAGCGGTTTACACACAGTTACCGATGAATACTGCAATGCAACGGGTAGCACCAATGGACCAGAGGTCTACGGTGGCCTACCTGTCCGTAGTGATTACACAGTGAAGAGATGGAGTCCTGGCTCTGATTATAGGTTACACAGAGTCGGTGGACTGGGACATGACTCTGGGCCAGCACATAATTATAATAATGTAACAGCTGCAATACTGGATAGTTTGTTACAAACATACAGTGTGTGTCTGTCATTTTGTGTTTAAAAGATAAGCTCCCAGCTAACATGCAAACGCTGCCATTTTATCATCTCATAAAGTTGATACACTTCAATCAAAGCTTTATTTCAACAGCAACATATTGCATCATTCTCTGTCAGCATGGTACAGCCTATCAAACATGTAAAGACACAAAGGTATTGACATATTAAACACATATAACTGAATATCAGATTACATGCAGAGCCCGCTCATATAAATAATATCCTAACATATGGTCTTATAAGAAAGACGCTCAAAAACAAGAGACTACATGTTATATGTTCATATTTCAGATCGTTATTTGATAGTAGATCGATTCAATTTCACATCTTCCATCACATTCTTTTGTTTTTCAATTGTTTCAATTGTTGATGTCCGTAGTGGCAGTATAAACGGATTAGCAAACAGCAGACACTGAGCAACAATAACATTTGTTCAGAGTTGTTTTTGGTCTCCACTAACACACCTAACTGTCTCTTTCTCTGTTAAACGCTCCACTGTAGCTAGGTGCTGGGCAGGTAGTGTACAGTGGGTTCATCAAAGGACTCATCCCTTACTTTTCATTGTTAGAAATGTGATCAAAATATCTACTGGGCCGGGACATCTTACAATTTAAGAATGAAGTTGTAAGTGCTCTCTGACAGACAGACAGACAGACTGTGTAATGGTGAGAGCGTTTCTCAGTTGTTACAAACATATCTTTGGCATTTCTTTCATTCCATGTATGATGGCTGTCATTGACTAACAGAACCTCTGCTTCTCATTCTAAAGTACGCTTAAACATGAAAAATGGGGATGCATCAGGATCAGCCTATTCGATAACCGATAATGACCTGATTCTCATGGACAATAATAAGATACTTGTGTATTTTAAAACAAAGTTAACTTGTAGCTTATGTACACCTGAGGTTAACAAAAGCTAAGATGTAGTTAATAATGTGTGTATATATAATATAATGTATGTATCTTTAATTAAACTATTGTAATAACACGTGTCCATTATCGGCTGATAATGTATTGGGCCCGATGAACGTGCATCCCTTGTAAAAAAAAACATCACTTCCTGTGTACCAGAGGATTTTCCAAGGAATGGCCTCTCTGACACCAGCCAGTCAGAACAGCAGATGGAAAAGCTTTCCTAAAGCGTCTATGCTAGAATCAGTATTGTGTCATATTAATTCGTCAAAGTAGCTAAACCTATTTTTGTCCGTATTATTTGTAGTCTGGGGGAAATCTCCCAGCACTTCTCTTTTTTCAGTTCATACACTTAACCTTGGGGAGTCTTCCCACCCCTTTCACCCAGACAGATGTCACACATCAAAAGTGTTTGTGTGTAAGTGTGTAAGTGTTTTTGCCAGTGTGTATGTCAGAGGAAGTGTGCTGTGGTTTGCTGAATGGACGCAGCAGATGATGATAGGCCCCCAGGCAGGCCAACATTGGCCTAGAACACACTCCCTCAGGGAAGCCACAACCTCTTTTATATCGGCCCATGACTGCTTGGCTTTGACACGGCCACTTATTAACTCCCTTTCTCTGTCTGTCTGTCTCTCTCCCTCTTCCTGAGAGGAGTCTAAAGAGGTTGACCCACTAAATTTCCTGACCAACTTCAGGTGTCCTGGTTCTGCTGTAAAAGGATTATTTCTGTGTGGAAAGATTACATTTATCTTCTCTTCTAGTCACGCCATTGTTTTGGTCCAGGGGCATCCCCGCATTGCTACCAGTGTTCACGCAAGTGAGTAGACATGCCTTCTGGCTTTATATAAAGAGAGTTTAGTCATATGAGTACAGGAGGATGTGATTAATGAAACAGCTGTGGAAATGTGAAATAGAGGTTTTAGTTACAAATGTAAGCTTGGGGTGTTGGAAAAATATCGAATCAACTAGGGCTGGGTATTTAAAGATCCAGTGTGTAATGTTTAGAAGGATCTATTGGCAGAAATGGACTATCCATAGGTAAGCTTCCAATAGTGTATAACCACCTGCATATAGGAACCAATGTGGGGTCTTTTAGAATGAGCCGTTTCTTTTCTGTAGACGCTGAAGGTCACCGTAGTTTCTCTTACACCGCTAGTTCTCATTCCCAGGTCTTCAAATACATATGCAACTGTGTAAAGTTAGTTACTGTGTAAAACTTCACCACTAGATGTCACTATGTTCTACATACTGGTTCTTTAAGGTGAATACGTTTTGAATATTGTGTGTAGCATTGAGAATTCATGGATGTCTATTCGTGGTTCCTCCTCTGCTACACTGCTGATGTTATTGTGAGGCAGCTGCATTTTACAAAGTTGGCAAACATTAATACATGGTTTCTTCTCAGAGGGCTCAGTGTCATTATCTGTTCACCATGGGTTGCTAGTTTCCGACAGTTCAGAAACGTCCCTCACTGAAGTACACGGCACAACAAAACATTGAAGATACAGCACCATAAATGGAATTCATGATGAATCTCAAGAGAAGCATTTAAACATGTTTATACAAGTAGGAATTCAAAAAGAGTTTTGTTTTGTACAGGAACCAAAACTTGGTCCCAATGTGAGTGCCAGTATCAGTATGATACCTATTTGCACAAATATCAAATGACATCAACCCCTAGATTGGACCAACATATCGCACTAATATTGGTCAGGTATTTGGGAAGTTCTAAACTTTAAATTGTAACATTGAGCTTAGGTCAAGGCTGGGAACATTTTTACATCTTCCTCTTCATTTCCTGTTGTCTCTCTATTTAACGTGTGATATATATGTATATATATGAAATTGGATTCTTGGTTACAGTGTGCGATTTAAGAAGCTTTTCTCTCTAATCAAGCATAAAAGCATTTCAGATGTGTATCTATCTTAGATGACAAGTTTTATATTTAATTTCGGTTGAAATGTGTCCTAATTAAAAGTCAGATGTAAAATTTACAAAAACCTTATCAAATCCACAGTCTTAAGGAATCAAAGGAACACAGTCTCCAGTGTGCTACTCCACATAGTACTGATAATTAGAAAAATTGCTGTTATTAACGACTGACATTTCCATCATCTAGCAACCAGGAAATGGCTGTAGGTCTGCCATCTATTGACAGGTTAAATCACTCTGAAAAGGAAATGAATTGTGCACATTATTCTTCTTCCCGGGAAGAAAATACTTCCAGCAAGTCCCAAGGTGCATCTCCCCGACTTTGTGAATGACAGTCTTGTGTATGTCAGCTAACCCTTAATGTAGTGATCAATTGGACAGGAAACAAGCAGAGTCATGCTTGTTTTTACAAGAATAGCCTGACATCTCTCTGCATGTGGGCTCAGAGAATTGAGAGAGCTAAAGACTGAAAGGTCAATTATTATCGGATCCCAGGGTTTTTTCTCAGGAGTAGATATGTCATCATGAGACATCAGAACTTGTTCAGACATATTCTCAGTTCACACAGAGAAAAACCCTGGCTGAAGGAGGCCAACATCTCTCTCTCTCTGTGTATGCATAAACCCTTGTGTGTTTTGTTGAAGTTCTCCCTCTGAAAGGCTCTGATAACATAATTTCTCAGTTA